AATTGAACATCACCGTGAAACTGACTTTTAATGTTTCGTTATTTGTGTTATGTATTTATATATCTACAGGCACTCTCATCTCTAGCCGTCTGCCAACTTCCATCTCTACCCGTCTGTCAGTTTCAATGACAGTACTTATGTAGTCATGTGGTGTACCTGGGTGTACCTACTCAATAATAAACTATAATTACAAGTGTAATTGATAACGCCTCTTTCGATCCATTACAAATTGTTTTAGTGGATTTAATGCTTGTATAATGTTTGTGACAAGAAAAGAAATTGTTAGCATCATGAGAAGATGTAGCAGCAAAAGAATAGAAAAACAGTTTGAATTTTTAGAAGCCGAGATCGCACAGCTAACGAAATGTCATGACGTAAAAAAATCACTATCGCATTTTAAGACACAATATAAGTCGCGTTGGTTAAAAGCGTGCAGAATGGATGACAGATTTCAAAGAAATAATAAAGAGTGGCTGAATAAACCTCTTTCATTTTCCCAAAAGAACGAAAACAGACGTGGTCGCCCAGAAGTGAGTTTTGAGTGTAGTTCTCAACGTACAAAACGACTAAAAACCAAAGAACTACGCGATTCTACATTAGCTTCGGTTTTAAGCTATGCTACACAGATGAGTTTCAGAGCAGAAGGCCATATAGATGCTTCTAGAATACTTAAAGATATTACGTCAACTACTCCAACCCGAGCCGCTAGATATAAAAAAGCATACAAAACTTCATTAGACTCCAAACCAAATATCATGTCAGGAGAAGACGCTCTTGCTGTTTAAATTAGCGGAAAATTGTCTCGACACCAATATGGCGTGGTTAGAGCTAGTGCCCCGGATAGATTTCCTTCTTACAAGGTCGTTCAGTCTGCCAAAAGAATGTGCTATCCTGATAATATCACATCTACAGAAACATCAGTAAGCGTTCCTTTACAGAACTTACTCGATCATATCGTTCAGAGGTTAGTTCAAAGTATTCAACAGGTAGTGGAGATACACGTTAAAGACTCTGAATTAGATAAATTATGTCTTTACTCAAAATGGGGGTTCGATGGTTCCTCTGGGCACAGTTCCTACAAACAAGCCTTTCATGGACCAGAAGCTAGTGACTCCGCTGTGTTCATCACATGCATAGTTCCTGTGCGACTTATGTGTAACGCAAAGGTAATTTGGCAAAACCCTAGCCCAGCCTCAACTGTTTACTGTAGACCATTAAAAACTGAATTCGTTAAAGAGTCTGCGCAAGTTTCCATTGCAGAAAAAAAAAGAGTCGTTGCTGAAATAGATGAATTGCAAAACTCTACTGCTACAGTTAACAACAGGAATGTCCATATACGTCACAAACTTATTTTCGCTATGGTAGACGAAAAAGTCTACAATGCACTCACGGAGACAACTTGAGACAAATGATCGGCAGAAGTGTCAAAACGGAAAACTTAGGTTTGGGTTTGTCAGTTTTGCACGGTTGGATTCGTATGTTTGAATGCATCTTGCATGTTGCATATAAAATGCCAATACAAAAATGGCCGGCTCGAGGAAATGATAAAATTGTCGTGGCTGAAAATAAGGCAAGAATTCAAAAAGACTTTAGAGAAAAATGTGGCCTAGTTGTTGATACACCTAAACCGGGATTCGGCAACACCAACGACGGAAACACCGCCAGAAGATTTTTTAGAAATGCAAAGTTGTCCGCAGAAATAACAAATGTTGACTTAGAACTTATTAAAAAAATCCATATTGTGATGGTAGTTGTTGCTAGTGGACATGAAATCGATGTCAACAAATTTCGACTCTATCTTCATGACACTGCCAGATACTTTGTATCATTGTATCCATGGTATAACATGCCACCAACCATGCACAAGTATCTCATACACGGCCCTGAGTTGATAGCCTCTGCATTGCTACCTATAGGGCAACTAAGCGAGGAGGCACAAGAGGCACGGAATAAAGATTTCAAAAAATACAGAGAACACAATTCAAGGAAGTGTAGCAGATCAAAAACAAATGAAGATGTATTCCACTTTTTGCTAATTAGTAGTGATCCACTGATCACATGCAAAAGAAATATTAAAAGAAAAAAATTAGAGCACCTGCCAGTGGAAGCACTACATATGTTGAAAGCTCCGAATGTGCAAGATGTTGAAGATGATAGCAGCAATGCAAGTGAAAATGTCACATCTGACGATTCTGATGATGATCTATAATTTCTTCTTCCTTTTCTTATACTATATTTCCATCTCTCTGGTGGTCTCTCCGGTGGACGCTTGCCAGCTGGATTTCTTTCTAGCGCAATTCTTGTTAGTCTGTGCTCCTTCGTTCTTTTTACGTGACTGAACCATTCTCTTCGTATTTGCATGTCCCATCTTACTACATCTCGCACGCCACATTGTTCCCTGATGATGTTGTTTCGTATTCTATCCCTTCTTGTCTTCCTTGCTATTGCTCTTAGTGCCTTCATTTCGGCTGTTCGTAGCATGCTTTTGGTTTTACTGGTGTCTTATCTTGATTCAATGCCATAGTTGATAACAGGTCTGATGCAAGTTTTATAAATTATAACTTTGCTATCCATTCTCATACATATATGGATTATTCCAAACCACATCTCTCAACCATCCGGACATGACTTCGGCCTTGTTTATTTGTCTTCTTAGGTCTCTGGCTGGGTCATGATAACTTGATAGTCTAAACCTAGATATTTAAACTGGTTTAGCTGTTCTATGGTTTTCCCCTCTACCACGAGCTTTCATCTACTTGGGTATTTCACAGTGGTAATGCATTTTGTTTTCTGCGTGGATATGTTCATGTTGAGTCGTCGACATGCTTGATAGAATCAATAAAGTTTCCTTTTTAGGCCATCCTCATCCTCTGCAATCAGGGCTGCACCATCCACATAGCACACTATACCGATTCTACTGTGACCGAATCCGTATCCTAGTTGTAGAGATTCCACATATTCTATTATTTCATTCATTAGCATATTGAATAGAAATGGGCTGAGGTTGTCTCCCTGACTGATTCTCCCTAGTGTTGATATGCTGGCCGTATCTATAGTTTAAGTTTTTTAATATATTACATACAAAATGCTATGTTGTTTCTATATAAATATGTGCGGTAAATGCTTTTAAAGAACAATTTAGTTGGGTAATTTTTCTAAAACAATGTTAAAACAGTTGATTTGAGATATGAATCTTAACAAATATACATAAAAACAAGTATGTACATTAGAGTATAGAAATAATTAGAATGAAAATTGTTAAACTTCAGATATCATTTAAATCAATATCAGTAATAACCAGGTACATGCAGCTTTGAAAGTTAAGTTTGAGCAAAACATTTGAATAAGCCATACTTCAATGAAAAATATTTGGAAATCGAGGTCCAAAAAGAAGAAGAACATCCTGGTTAAATAACCTGAAAACCTGCGTCAACACAACATCTGTGCCGCCTTTCCGCGCTGCTGTAGATAAAATAAAGATTGACATGATGACCGACAACACTCATCACTGATAGGCACAGAAAGAAGAAGAAGAAAACATTTAAAAAAAGATCGTTTTTGTATATGTATACACCACTAACAACATTTTTTTTAATTTGGCTATAATATATTGATAATGATTTAATGCCAACTTATGTTGTCTCTTGCCCCACTGTGCTGCGTCCCAATAAAGAAAATAGCTAGAGGTAAATCTTATCAGCCATATCTTGTTCGTTTTTGACCCAGTAGATTTATGTAAGTATCCCTTTGTTTTCATTTTGTAGATACCCCAATCCGACCCATTTTATTTTCAACTTATCCACGACCCAGCTCTCCAACAACCCCCTGAGTGCCGTACGCACTAGTTTCGATTATTTTGTTTGCCCTATCTCTACCCCCATGTTCTTATCCTGAGGTAAGCAAAATAGTTCGTTACACGGGTATATATCGTACTATTTAAATTTATTCCCTCATAACTTTTTATAATGCTAGGATGAACAGCGTGCATGATAATTCATCTCCGTGGCACAGTCCTTCGTTAGTTTTAAATAAGTCTGAAAGATCTCCTTGTACCCACAGTTTACGTTTGACTTTCCTCATTGTCATTTCAGTTCCTTCTACCAATCCTTTTGGTGTTCAAATTCGGTCATAGTCGAATGTAATTGGTTCCTTTTAACAGTAAACGCTTGCTTAAAATCTACAAAAATGTAATAGCAGTTTATGTCGTACTCCTTCGTATTTTCTAATATTTGTCTGATGGATGATATGTGATCAATGGTATACCTATTTTTCAGAAAGCGTCTTTGGTATTATATTTTCAGTATACAATGCCAGTCGTTCGCTATCCGGGACACAATTTCGTATGCCGTACTAAGCAAGTAAGGCAAGTACAAGTGTGTATAGGGCATAATTATAATTCCAGTATTCCAATCTTCTAGTAAAGCGTGTTCTCACCATATAATATGGATAGCCTCTTATCTATTCTTCCATTCGTCTCCATTAGCCACTGTCTTCTGTGTGTCCTTTCCACATTGGACATACACCTTGCTTAATATCGGAAGTTGCTCCCATTTGTGATACACCTCTAACGCACGATCTTTGTCTCATCTTCATTATTCTCGTTATGCCCAGCCCATTCCCAGGTTAGTTTTAGAATGTATACTACAGTATATTAGAACAAGTATGACACATGCACTGAATACATCCTTTTTTAATTTAAAATGTGTTTTTTGGTTTTTATAGCCGTATGAAAGTATTTTAAATGTAGCCCATCCCATTCTTATTCTCCTGATTATTTAAGTTTGGGTAATTACTTTTATCTGCTAACTTGAATGATATAAGTGGTGTAAAATAAAATAACCAAAAATTGTAATAATAACGCAAAATTACTATGAAAAAAATGATACAGTTCACAAATGACGCAATTTACACTATACTATTATGACAACTATATTTCTTGCTATTAGATCGCTAACTATTATTACTATGTGTAATATTTAAACTGCAATAAAAAATGATGATAATTAAAACACATTTATTATCAAAATAAAACATAATTGAAACAATAACAACATATTAATTCTCTTTCTTTTCTTTTTTATTATCTTTTTTCTGCTCGCCAACAACATGCGACATATCGTCAGTTCTGCTTTTATCTACTGGATATAACCTAAAAAGAATGTAAATGGAATTTTAATCAATACAGTATTTGAAATGTTTATTAAAAACTATGAAAATAATATATTTTCAAATATGTAATCTAGTGAAAACGTTTTATTTAACGTTCAACAATTTTTTTTACAAAATTATCTACGGTTTAAAAGATAAAATGATAATCAGGTGTAAAAGAGTTGTGTTAAAATGATAACTATTTAGTAATACTGGATATCCAAAAGAGTGTGTGTCCAAAAAAGGTATCGACGGTTTGATAATCAAACTAAATAAAATAATAAAATTATTTGTCAATATTTTGTTTACAAACAGTGAATTGGTAACACGTTGGAACATTTCTCGCGAGATTGCCCTTATGTTTAATCAGTATTGTACTTTTTCAGATATACTCTATGGCAAGTGACCTCGTCTTGCTCGAACCATGTTTTCAAAACCTCTGTAGCATTGCATTTGTAAATTTTAGTCGAAAAAATATAATTTCGTTCAAGAACTGTCATAGTCTGAGCAAAGAACCCCGAAAAAAATTCATCAATGATGAAAATTTGGGAATAATTAGATGGAATTAGCGATGGTAAGGTCACGAACGACCCGTTCACAAAAATCGAATCCTTTCGAAGACCCGTGATTGATACAATCAAGTTCTGTGACCCTATGAATGACGTTGTCTAGTGTTTACGAAACGAACTGTATGATAGCGACACGTTGATCGGTCAATTCATGGCGCTCCTAAATTAATTGGATGGACGGGGAAGCCCCTACACTGCAAAACTGTTCTGTTTAGTTTAACGATTGAAATTGTTTATTCTAGTTACGGTTTTAAATAAAATGGAAAAAAAAGTATTATGTTTGATCAAACAGAGTTATATAGGGTGAACAAAATATAAATTTTGTTCTAAGATAATATCTTATAAAGGAGGTGCGACAGATTATCTGAATCGTCATTTAAAATTAGTTCATCCTTCAGTAAAACTAATGGACGAGGAAGTGTCTTCTTCTTCACAGAGTAACATAAGTTCAACTGGTGAATTCAGTTTAAGTTCAAATACAAATGCACTAGTATTGGACTATAAATTAGGAGAAATCACAAGTGTTTTGAAACCTAAAATAAATTTAAACCCGCAAATTTCCTTGGCTTCATTTGTTAAACGACCATTATCAGACAGAAAAACTCGAGAAGTACATAATAGTTTAGTAAAAGTTCTCATTAAGAATTATTTAGCCATTCAGTTAGAGAATCCATACTTTCGTTCATTTATTATTAACTTAAATAATAGTTACCAAGTGCCATCACGTAAGACTCTAATATATTAATTGTTGCATTATCATTCATTCATAAACATAACAATATCGAATTTGTAATTTTACTTAACTGTTTCAAGTATTTTCTTTATTTTAATGATTTCTGAAGATGATTTAAGAAATATAAATCTAAATGTCTATATATATATATATATATATATATATATATATATATATATATATATATATATATATATATACTTTGGAGGGTAACTTTCGGGAAAGCGTCAAAGCAAGGATCAGCTAGAGATGGTATAAGCCAGTTTGGTGTAGAACTTTATTCTAAATGTGAAATTTTCGGTGATATGTTGTCACCTTCATCAGCACATTGAAAATGTTCAGTTGGTCCTAGAGGTGAAGAACACTGTCACAAACATGTTAAAAATATTAAAAAATACATTTAAAATTTTGAATAAAAACATTACAACACAACAGGGTATTATTTAAAATACAAACACAACAAAAATCTAAAAATTACATTACATTATTTTTGTTGTGTTTGTATTTTAAATAATACCCTGTTGTGTTGTAATGTTTTTATTCAAAATTTTAAATGTATTTTTTAATATTTTCAACATGTTTGTGACAGTGTTCTTCACCTCTAGGACCAACTGAACATTTTCAATGTGCTGATGAAGGTGACAACATATCACCGAAAATTTCACATTTAGAATAAAGTTCTACACCAAACTGGCTTATACCATCTCTAGCTGATCCTTGTTTTGACGCTCTCCCGAAAGTTACCCTCCAAAGAATTGTATTCTTAGCGTCGTTATACAAACTCTATATATATATATATATATATATATATATATATATATATATATATATATATATATATATATATATATATATATTATACCTGTCATTTCTTTCACTTTGTTTTACCTAAACCTGTAGATACCTAATAATGACATATTAAATGATCTCAGAATTGCAAATCGTGTATTTATTATTGTCATAAGTTTAACTTTCTATTCATATTTTGACTGACCATGAAGCAGTTTTAAATTGAATGTAAATAATGAGGTTACATTCATTTTTTCCTAATTATTTTTAAGATATTGTCACAACACAAATTATATCAAATTTTTGTCCATGAGGATATACTATCGTATATACTCATGGACAAATGACCGTAACTATCGTATAAACACTACTTACCATCTTTGGTATAAATAAATCAAAAAGACGACATCGTCTCTGAAACAAGCTACCCTGTGTGCAATAGGCATTGTAATGATAAAGGCGAAGATATCGTCTATAAAAGTGTTAAATGCTCTATAGGTGAAAGCCCTCCAAGGCAGGGCTGCTACAGACTTGAGGCGATAGTTGATGAACAGTTGGGGCAGCATGAATATAAAACCAAATGCGTAAACTCCGTTCACTAGGCTATTTATTGTCCACGAATACCAACTAAAAAATAAAAAAAATTAAGCATTTACTCGTAATTTATTTTGTGTTTAAAAACAATAATTATATACAGAAACAATAGGTAGGATGAATTAATATAACGTAAAACCAAAACTGAACTGAAACTGAATGAAACCACCAGCCGTGTCGGTGTAGTTTCCAAGGAGTGGTTCTGAATTAAGTAAGGGCTCTTCAGTACTTCTTGGAAACACATTCGGAGGGGGGTAGTTCTCAACCCCAACACGGCGCGTCCCAATGGCTGCTAGGGAATTGACTGAGAAATTGACTTCAAAGGCGGAAGAGCTAAATTAGCCAACGGCATTGAGATGTGAAAAGCCACGGGATGACTACCACATTAAAGATCTGTAAGGATACCCCCAGGACACCACAATGGAGTAGAAAACTGGAGCCTTACAGAAGATGCCATAAAACGATTAGAGGCATTTGAAATGTGGTGCTACCGACGTATGTTGAGGGTCTCATATATACACCACACAAGTAACATAAATATTCTCCAGAGGCTAAGAAAAGACAAAGAAATTATTAACACCATAAAAAACAGAAAATTGGCTTACTTCGGCCACATCATGCGTAATGATAAATACCGACTTCTACAGTTGATTCTACAAGGCAAGATTGAGGGTAAGAGAGGCCCTGGACGTAGGCGTATATCCTGGCTGGCCAATCTTAGGAAGTGGACTGGTCTAACGTCAACTGATCTACATCAACATCTCTAGAAGATAGGCACATTTTCTTGGTTGTCGAAACCAAAATTCAGATTTTTGCTAAAAGTTATGCCTTCTACAATTTACAAGGCAAAATACATGATGAATGAACCGACATGGGGAATCTAAAATTGCATTCCATGGCATATAGATTCATATAAGCAAGAACATTTCGTGAACTGGTTTATTATACCTACTCATAAAGAGTAAACAAACATAAAGGCACACAGTTAAGATTTGATTTCACGTATAATGCCTCTGCTTATTCGCTTACACATATATCGTCCTAACAGGACTTATCTGAGCGACTCTGCAGAAGCGCAGAACGCGAAAATAAATATTTTCCATCAATAAGAAATAATAATAAAATAACTTCATAAAGACGCTACGACGCCATCTGAAAATGAAGCCAGTCGATATATATATATATATATATATATATATATATATATATATATATATATATATATATATATATATATATATTGATAATTCTTTGATGTTTTCTGACGTGTTTTTCTAATGCCTTCGAGCGAAGTGTCGAATCTGTTTAGTTTATTTAATCTTGAGTTCCTTCATAAGTTTCAGGTTAAATTGCAAAATAAGATGGCGCCCTTCTTATTTTGCAATATACTGTTCTGAAGCTATTTTCTTTTGTCATTTTAAAGAAATTACTGTTTAAATGTGAATAAGTCACAATTAAAGGTTAAAGTAATATTATTGCAGTTAACGAATTTGTATACCTGGGAACGCTCGTCAATACTGAAAATGACACTACCGCAAAGATAAACTGCAAAATTTGCACGGCTAATAGATGCTGTTTTGGTCTTAATCTCCTTTTTAAATCTACAGTTATATCAGGAAATACAAAAGTAAAACTCTACAAAACAATAATACAATAAAATTTGTGATGTTATTTTAGAACTTACTTCTCATAAGAGCATACATATTATCGGTTTAACGGAATTATGGAAATCAAATGATTCTATTGGGAACGTCAACATTGAAGGTTTTATCCTAGCAAGTTGTTATTTGCGACGTAACTCCATAAGAGGAGGAGGCGTAGGAATTTGGGTTCAAAAAGGTCTTAATTTTAATAGCAAACTCAACTCTAGGCTAAAGCAATATTGTGTTGAAAAACATTCTGAATTCTGTATTATTTTTTTCAAAGACAGAAAAATAACTCATGTAATATTAAATTGTTACAGATCACCATCTGGTGATTTAAGTATTTTTTTGAATAACCTCGAAGGTATTTTAAACGTATATATAAACCAAATATTGTAATATATGACTATAATATATAATATAATATATGACTATAATAATAAATTGTAATATATGACTACAGTTTATATGTTAATTATATGTGTATATTGTAATTTTTGTAAGGAAAAAGGGTTCATCCCGTTAAATAAACAAACAAACAAACAAACAAACAAATATACGTTTTGTAATGTGGTGAAGTTAATGTAGATACCAGAAATATGACTAACGACCATGTTAATCTACTCAATGTTTTACTGAATTTTACTGAATACAACATTAGATAAAGTATTTGTAAATTTCTCGAACTCCGGTTTGTCATGTTTACTTGACAACACTGTATCACATCACAGAACAGTTTTGGTAGAACTTTACTTTGAAACGGAATTGTCATACTGTATACAAAAAAGACAATTTGGCGAGGAATCAATAAATCACTTTATAGTTAACCTCATTAACAAAAACTGGAATAATGTTTATGGAATCTTAGATACTAATCTAGCATTTCAAGCTTTTATAAATATATTTTTGTATCATTTTAATAATAGCTTTCCATTAATAAGGAAAAAAATCAAAACAACAGTCAGTCAATTATTACAGATCATGAAAATTTCTTTCAGTTGTACCGTACCCATTTACTGGGCAGGAACTCCTGCAGAGTAAACTTAAACAAATCCTCAAGTGGTTTTGACGAGATAACAGCATTTTTTTTGGGAAAAAGGTTTTACCTTTTATAATTAATCATTTAACTTATCTCACCAATTTGTCTTTTTGCAATGGGGATTTTCCTAATTACTTAAAGACAGGCAAAGTAGTTCCCATTTTTAAACAAGGAGATCCAAAACTGGTCAGCAATTATAGGCCTATAACAATTCCCAGTATATTTTCAAAGGTATTTGAGTATGGATATTTAAAGAGATTAAATAGTTATCTAAATAACAATACTATCCTAACTATAAATCAACATGGATTTCAAGAAAATAAATCTACTAATACGGCAGTCCATGCATTTTGTGCTCATTTAATCAGTTTGATTGATCCAGGCGAATGTCCTATTGGAATATTTTGTGATCTTAGTAGGACATTTGACTGTGTCAACCATGAAATGTTATTTAGAAAACTAAAACAGATAGCTATTACAGGAAATTCTTTGCAGTGGATTGTCATTTCTAAACAATAGACAACAATATGTGAGCCTGCAGATGAGGATCGAGGATTGTGTGACCAGTTGTAAATCTAGTCTTGTTACTACAAACATGGCTGTTTCCCACGGATCTATAATAGGACCAATTCTCTTTATAGTCCACATTAACGACATCGTACAAGTGGACAGAGCAGTAAATTTCACTATATATGCGGATGATACGTCAATTATTCTATCTATCAAATCCAACGTAATCCTACAACATCGATGTAGATTTTCTTTCATCTTTATATTCTTGGTTTTGTGATAACTCGTGGCATCTTAATGCAGAAAAAACGCAAATTATACATTTTCACAATAAACAAAAATACCTGGAAAATCTTCAGTTTAATTTTAACAACATGCAAATAGCTACGGTGTCGTGAGGCAAGTTTTTGGTAATAACGATTGACGAAAGTTTTGATAGGAAGTTGCATTGTGGAGCGGTTATTTTGAAGTTGAATTCCACTAACTATCTAATTAGAAATTTAAAATATATTTTGACGGAAAATCAGCTAATTATGATATATTATGCACTCGTGGAGTCCAGGCTAAGATACGGGATATGTTTTTGGGGTATGTCTGGTTATGCAAATAGTATTTTCGTCATACAAAAGAAAATATTGCATTGTGTCGCTGGTGTCTCCCGACTAACTAGTTGTAGAGAATATTTTAGAAAATATAAAATTTGAACATTTTCGTGTCTATACATTTTTGAATTATGTGTTTTTATTTTTAATAACTTACATCAGTTTAAAACGAGTAGTTATATGCATAGCTTAAATACTAGATATTGTAATAAACTTTTTATACCATTTTCAAAAGGCAACATTAAATTTAAATCGCCCAAGGTATACGGGCCACAGGTATTTAATCATTTGCCCACAGTTGTAAAGTCCACCAGTTCGATAAATGTATTTAAGCGGAATCTTTTATGTGAGAAAGTGTTTTATACAGTCGAAGAATTTTTTAGATCTTAGATATTAGCTGTATTTCATTTAGCTGTTAAATTCATTTCATGTCTTGTTTAGTCTAGTTTAGTGGTTAGTTTTTAGCAATGTATATTTATGACTAATTCTATACAAACTATGTTTGTCAGAAAGAAAATAAAGAATTTGTATTTTGTGTGTTGGTTTCAAAAACTTACTAGTTCAAATGAAATACTTATTCAGAAGGGAAACATTTTAGTAGAGTCAGTTATTCATCATCATTAGCCATTTTGGATCCACTGCTGAACATAGGCCTCACGTAATAATTCAATTGCATCCGATCTTGAACACATTGAATCCAGTTGTGAGGATGCACTTGATGTCGTCGACTACCTTGTTGGAGGACATCCTCGATTACGATAAGCATCGTGTTTAGGTTTCCATTCTAAAATTTTCTTGGTCCATCTTCCATTTCTGACTCTGACAACATGTCCTGCCCAGTTGCATTTCAGCATTGCAATTTTTTTAATGGCATCCGTAACACCAGTTTTTCTCCTAACTATTTGATCTGAAACTTTGTTTCTGAGGATATATTCAACATTGCCTCTCCATCTCTCTCTGTGCCACTCGTATCTTATAGATTACTTTTCTGGTAAGAGTCAAAGTTTCTTAATATAAATGAAATGATTTTTATTTCTCAAATAATTCGAAATAAGGACAAGAGCCTTTTTATAAAAAAAGCGATTTACTTACCTTTTGTGTGGCTGGTATATCAATGAGTAGACAGCAGCTGATATACACAAAGGATACAGAAGATAGCTCAAGTATCTCATACATTCTTCATCATATTCTCTAGTTTTCTTTTCTTCATCAGTCTCAGTTTGTGTTTTATTCAGCTTTAATCCCCTCCATGAAATAGTAGTCTTAAATACTTTACTAACTTTCCAAAACTACAAAAAGAGATTGCAGAAGGTTTTGCGTTTTTTAAACTTAAGTCTTTTACAAGTTATCGAGATGTGATTAAAACCTTACCTCAATTAATGTTCCGATACCGCTTGGAATAAGAACCAATAAGGAGGTTCCCTCATCTAAAAGAAACAGAAAAACAATAGTTTGTGAAAACGCTCTCCACAGTACAGCTCTGGTCGATAAACCTGCCATAGATGTCTGGGATTTCCAAAAACTGACGTCATTCTTGAATGTCAAGAAATCCAGAAGAAGCTAAAAGTTGAATTTGTAGATTTAATACATATACATGTACAATGTGAAATTTATTAATGACTGAGTACGGCTATTATATTTATTTCCTTATTTTCCAACAAAACAATGCCAACAAAAACTAAAAAAAAAAGAAATTGTGAAAATACAAAAACTAAACATACCTAAAATACAAAAGCAATTCATGATAGGCACAATATACAAAATACATCGGAAGATAAAGTAAGCAAATTCCAAAATCCAGGATACTAAAACGCAATATTGAACTAAGACCAATAAAAATATAGACAATAATGTATATTGAAACATTTGAATGAATGAATCATTTGAAACGTGATGAAATTAAAAGATTAAATAATCACATATATCAAAAATTATAAAATAGGAAAGAACCGAGCACTTATACCAAATTATATAAAATATTCAAATTTTACTATCCAAGAGTATAAATATACGTGAAATATTATTTAATAAAATACTAATCACCATGAAGATATTCGATCACTGAAATAATAATATAATGTGTAACTTCATCCTTTCCATACACCATCCACCACATCCATCTTCAAACACAGTTCGATGAAAATATAAAAAACTTGATGAAATGTAGTAGTAGTTGAAAGATATCGCTTGAAACGGACATATGAGTAGTGAGGACCAAAGATAACATTTATAACTCGAAAGTAGAAATCCCAAGATTTCTATTGACGAAACCAAAATTCAGATTTTTGCTTTAATCTGTGCCTTCTAAGAATTGCAAGGCAAAACAGACGATGCTAAAAGATGAAAAATAATATATAGAGAATCTAAAAGTTGCATTCCACAAGCAATCTAAGAAAAAAATCCTCGGCGAATTGGTTTCTAGTACTCATAAAGAGTATATCGAAATAAAAGAAAGACAAGATTTGATTTCACGTATAGTGCCTCTGAAAAATGCTAACAAAAAGTGGCGATATAAATTTATGAATATGGAAAGGAGTAGAATTAGCAATAAACAATATGATTCCTTTTGTTTCACTTACATGAACACTTCCAATGAAGAGCGTAGCACATAACAAATGTAAATTAGTATCAGCAAAAACCCCTTTAACTTCGTCTAAATCCTTCTCAGTAAAACCTAAGTCTAAAAATTGTTTTAAAGTTATTTCGATTTGTAATATAAATCTCATTTTTCCAAAAGACGATGGTGTGTATATATAAGTGAAATTCAATGAAGTTGTTTCAGGTGTTATTTCTACAAGATCTCGTGTTCTCATGTTGAGAACATCAACATGGAAAAGTGGCAGAAACTTCCGCTGTCTATTTACTCTAAAATCTCTTATTATTTCCATAGGAATGGCTGAATGGGGAACAGTCACTTCATCAGTGCACATTATCACAGCGTATCTGAAAAGAAAATAAAACTTATAAAAATAAAGTGTAACAAATTTTCTACTAATTATTTAATAAAAACTACTAAAATAGAGGAGCAACTGTTTTCAAAGTGCCTTATATTTATAACGCCCGATTTTCATGATTATCTATTAATTAGTCAGTTTAAATTTAAGTCGTTGATTAATAATTACATCAAACAATTAAATTGACATCGTAGCTTCCTATAAAAACGTTTTAAATGCCAATTTTAAAATTTTCAGGAACCAAAAAATAAACTTATTTCGAATATATTTTTAACATACTTATTAAGTACATATAATAAAAACTAACAAAATTTCTCGTGTCACTAGAAAATAATATGAACATTTGTGTTACAAATGGAAAATTTTTTGACTCAATCGTAATCGATTTATACAAGCTATGGATACTAATTATGAATAAAAAAATTTTATTCCATATTCAGAACGCTGCATGTTGATCCAGCTAAGTGCGCACCCTTAGACATAAATATAATTCAGGTTTATGCTCCCACATCGGAGAGTACGGACGAAGAAGTTGAAGAGTTTTACGAACAGTTAGACGACATCATAAAAAACCTAAAGAAACAAGACATAACCATGGTAATGGGAGATTTCAACTCCAAAATAGGAAAAAGGCGAAGTCAGTGGACGTAGTTGGCAAGTATGGGTTGGGAACAAGAAATGAACGAGGTGATCGACTAATACAGTTTTGCCAGGAGAAAAACTTAATTATCACAAATACTTTGTTTAAGCTACCAGTAAGAAGATTGTACACTTGGAAGTCACCACAGGATAGGTCTGGGTACATCGTTAGAAATCAGATAGACTTCATAACAATTAACAAACGATTCCGTAACGCAATAATATCAGCCAAAACATATCCTGGAGCTGATATAAACTCTGATCATAATCCTCTTGTAGCCCAATTACGAGTAAGACTAAAAACCATAATCCAGAAACAGAATAACAAAAGATATGAGATATGGATTCAACTTAGAAATCCTGAGATAAAAGCCAAGCTTACAAATAGCATTAATAGTAATGTTGCTTTAACAACCAACACTGATGATATTGAAAGAGACTGGATCAACTTAAGGGACGCTATATGCAACGGTGCAAAAGAAGTAATTGGTGACTCCGAGCGGAAGAAGAAGAACGAGTGGATGACAGATGAAATATTACACCTTATGGACAGAAGGAGGGAAAATAAGAATAATCCCGAACAATATAAAGAACTGGATAGAACTGTCAGCAGAAAGATAAAAGAATCCAAAGAGAAATGGTTGCAAGAAAAATGTCAAGAGATAGAAGAGCTAGAACGAAGACACGATAGTTTTAACATGCATAAAAAAATCAAGGAGTTTACTTATACTTACAAGAAAAAACAGTTTGGTAGGTTAATAGACGAGAACAATAAACTTATTGTAGATAAAGAAGAACAGTTACAGACTTAGGCAATCTACATAAAAGATTTGTTTACGGATTATCGTCATATTTCTACGAACACTCTTGATCTGAATGGACCAAAAATATTGAAAAGTGAGGTGATAAAAGCTATAGATCAAACGAAAGATGGGAAAGCAACAGGATGCGATGAAATACCAGTCGAATTCTTAAAAGTTTTTAACGAGAACAACCTGAATGTAGTATTGGAACTGTTTAATAAGATATACGATACTGGTCAAATTCCATCGGACTGGTTGAAATCTACATTTGTGCCCCTTCCCAAGAAATATAATTCTAAGACGTGTAGTGAATATCGCCTTATAAGTTTAATGAGCCACACCCTTAAAGTATTTTTGCGTATTATCCATTCCAGAATACGAGCAAAATTAGAACACAGCATAAGTAAAACACAGTTCGGTTTTAGATGCGGTTTTGGAACTCGAGAACCCCTCTTTGCAATACAAGTTTTGATTCAAAAATGCCTGGATCAACAGAAAGATGTTTACGTCTGTTTTATCGACTATGAGAAAGCATTCGATACTATCAAACATGACAAACTCATAGAACTATTACGTCTTTCAGGACTTGACACTAAGGACATCCAGATTATAAAAAATCTATATTGGAATCAAACAGCCCACATGAAGAATGGACATATGGTGAGTGAAAACATAACCATTTCTAGAGGGGTAAGACAGGGCTGTATTCTTTCGCCACTGCTTTTCAACCTGTACACGGAACAAATATTTCTAGAGGCACTAGAAGAGTACAATGAGGGCATCAAGATTAATGGCGTACCAATAAGTAATTTTCGATATGCAGATGATACTATTATACTGGCCGATAACATCGAAGATTTACAGATGATGCTACATAGAGTTAATACAACTGGCAGCCGATTTGGACTGAAGATCAATAGAAAGAAAACTAAATTTATGGTGATCAGTAAAAAAAAATTTCAACATATCGACCTGCATATTGAAGACGAACGTATTGAAAGAGTACACCGATTTAAATATCTGGGATATACAGTAAATGACAAGTGGGACCCAGAAGTAGAGATTAAGATCCGAATTGAAATAGCAAGATCCAAATTCATCAAAATGAGAAAGCTCTTAAGCAACCGCAACCTAAGCATTAACCTCCGATGGCGCGCCACGAAATGCTACGTACTCTCTACGCTACTTTACGGCGTAGAAGGGTGGACGTTAACAGCAGCAACTATAAAGAAGTTAGCGGCTCTAGAAATGTGGCTGTATCGACGCATACTGAGAATACCTTGGACAGACAGAGTGACCAACACAGAGGTATTAAGACGAATGGGTAAAGAGGTGGAATTGTTAACAACTGTTAAAAGGAGGAAAGCGTCATACCTGGGCCATGTGTTCCGTAATGATAAGTACAGTCTGCTACAGCTTATCGTGGAAGGCAAGATTGAAGGTAGAAGAGGTTTGGGCAGAAAGAAGAAATCCTGGCTGAGAAACTTGAGAGAATGGTTTCAAATACCAGAAGCTGCGAACATAATTCATGCGGCACAAAACAGAGAAACCTATCGTAATGCTGGTCGCCAACCTTCGGTAGAAGACGGCACATAAAGAAGAAAGAAGATGGATACTAAATGGATTTCATCCTCCCTTTAGACAGAAAAATTATAGGAAAAGAATTTAACGCCGGTAGGAACAATGAGAAAAAATAAACCTCATATTCCAAAGCAATTGTGGAAACAAACGGAAAACATATTGATTCATCTTTGATTGTTTTTGACGAAGACGGCAAATAACTTCCTTAAGTGCCTAAGAACACACACAACAAAAAACATTGACTAAAAAACAAAAAAACCTGAAATAATTTTGATACTTTTGATCCACTTTGTCATCTAACAACAGTCTCTAGAAAAACTCGAAGGTGACCACTTCGAATTTTGCATGCTATGTATAATGTATGCTATGTATGCGATATATAAATCTTCGACTCAAACACATTCAAAAATGCCTTGATCACCAGAAAAGTATATCTGTGTTTCATCGACTACCAGGAGGCTTTTGATAGAGTCCAGCATAAAAATTGTTGTATGAACTACAGAAAATGAAGCTAGATGGAAAAGATCTCCAAATAATTCAAAACATTTATTGGAACCAAGTAGTAACCTTAAAATACGCTAACCACACTACTAAAAGCATTCTTATACAAAGAGGTTTGTGTCATGTCTCCATTTCTCTTTAACTTGACGGCGCCAAAATTGGTATAAACATAAACAGCAAATATATTAACAATATCAGATATGCAGACGATACCATTTTGATATCAGAAAAAATGGAAAACTTGCAATGTATATGACACAGAGTTATTAATGCAAGTGAAGTAACGGGGCTGACAATAAACAAAAGTAAGGGTGATTAGCATAACTGACAAAATTGTGCCATTGACCTAAATAACACTCAATTAGAACAATTTCACAAATTCAGATACTTAGAACCAGTACTAAACGATAAATGAGATCCAGATATAAAAATAAAAACATGAATAGAACAGGCTAGGAACATGTACAATAAATAGAAGCAAATTATCTATAACCGAAAACTAAGCTCAGACATCTGAATTATAGATATTAAATGCTACATTTGGTCAGTCCTTCTGTATGGACTTAAAATTAAATACTATGAGACGCCTAAAAGCCTTTGACATGTGACTGTATTGCAGAATTCTCAGAATATCATGGACCCAACACATTATGAATTGAACAGTATTAAACACCATCAATAGATAGTTAAAATTTATGGCAATGATAAAGAAAAGAAAGACTTTGTAACTAGGCCACATAATAAGTAGAGCCACCAGTAAGAATAATAATTAAAGAGAAGATAGAAGGGCTAAAGAGGTGTAGGCAGAAGAGCCATGTCATGGTTTCACAATATCAGAACTTAGACAGGCATGGATGTTCAACAATTACTAAGAGTGGAGAAGAATAGAAAAAATTTTGATGTAGTGATCGCAAACCTCCAGTTATGGAGTGGACCAGAAGAAGAAGAAGAAGATAAAAATGTAACTGTAAAACAAAATTACGGAAACAGTCCGATTTCCTGAAAGATCTATCCTATTCCCTCGCAGAAGATTATTTGAAAGAAAGAATGACCAATGCATGCCTCCCAAGTGAAATTGGGAATAATATTAATAAATCCCTGAATTGCAAAGAACAAGAAACTGCTCAGAATTAGAAGTGAAAGGACTCATTAGTCTGATGTGACTTTTGCCACCAAAAAAAGAACAAAAAGGCTTTAAATAAATGTGAACATTGCCATAAAAGTGTACATGCTGAATTTCGCCTTAGCATTTGTGTAGATTGCAAATGACTTTTTTTGTAAAAAATGTACCTTGTTTTTTATTTTACCATTTCTAATAGACACCATGATAAAAACCATTGGTGACACATATTTTCTTTAGGTATATATGAGTACGAATACGGCACATTTTTTAATTTTCTAATCATAATTTTTATAACTGTGGTGTTAATAAATCTTAATTTTAGTATGAAATGTTAATTAAAACCGATTAAACACACTTTTTACCATAACAACTAAAGTTATAAATAGCAGGAATTGAAATATATAGAGGGAGTTTAGTGGCCTTACATGACTCCACCTTGTTGTTAACATTTCGCAAACTCCACCTTGTGGTTCTAGGGTTAATTAAGTCCAAAACATTCATACTAGAATATATGAAAGTTAATAATACCTAGATCATTTTGGGAATATAAAAAAAAACCTGGAACTTTACAATAAATCCTGATAGCCAAAAAATACATTTTTATCCACAATTTATACCTCACAACAACAAAAAAAGTGTATGAAAATTTGTTACCTGGAACGGAGGTGAGTAACAGGTTTCCAAGTTAGAGTTTTTCCATTTTCTTTGAGTAGATTAAATGAGGCACTTACTGGAATGGAATATTTGGTAAGTCTACTTTTAATATAAGTGGAATCAGGTGCATCTACTAATTCCTTTAGATCATCTGTGTGTATTCTTTGGGATGGAACAAGTACTGAGTGTATGATGAGGGAGCCATTATTGCGAGCTGGTTTTGATATTTCAAGAGTTAACTGTCTGAAAATAATTACAATATAGAGCATTAAATTTTAATGAGACCAAGTGTGTGTTTAAAAGCAGTTGCATTTAATCAATCTTAGATTACTTGTAAAAACACGCTATATATTTAAAATTAAAGGTAGCCTTTAAAATTTGTATATACATTCAGATGCAAAAAATTAGATCCATTATATCTTTGCCATTTTAATATTTAGCAAACAGTAAAAACATTGAAACATTTCAAAAAATATACTAATGTCCCAGATTGACTCAATCTGGAAAAAATAAAAACCTTATTTCTGGTTTGAATTTCATGTTTTATAGTTAAGTTGCTGAATACTTTATGGTGGTGTTAAAACAAGAATATAATCTTTATTTTCCCAATTTTGATTATGTTATTCTCGTAAAAGATTGTACAGGATTTAAAATAATTTGGGTTTGTCTGTTGGTTTCATTCTTCTTAGTCACCATTAGTCTTATATGATTTATGAACCACAGTCTTGGTTAAAATAGGAACTCTAATTGTGGCATTTTTTCTCTTTAGTTCAATCTCAATTTTATTTATTTTTCCTTCCAAATTGTTTATGTATCTCAGTTTTGATTTCTCTATAGGATACCTTAACAAAGACTCCTAAGAAAACATTTTTAAAATGTTAATATAGGTACATACTTGGCATTGTTATAAAGTCAATTCGATTTTTTAATAGTGTTTCTGCCCCCATAATATTGAAATATTTTACGAATGATGTAAAAAAATGGGTGTTTATTAGTTCCATAGTTATAATATAAGAACTATTAAAACTAAACAGACTGATTTGGGACAAACTTAGTGTACAAGCTCAAGTTATGCACAATTATCACGAAACACTGTATAGAATTATCTCAAAGTATTCACATGAGATCAAAGAAAATACATTTATATATTGTATAAGGAAAAAATAAATAAATTGATACAAATGGATCAAAAATCGAAATATTATTTGGTTTTAGTAGGTCAAACTTTTTGAACCATTCCTTAAATAAAACCGATTTTGATAACAGGAAGATACTTACTTTTCAAGCGGTGAGAAATAATCAAACTCTTTTAAGTGTAAAATTTTATCAAAATTTCCTGATTTTGAATTATCCGATAGAAACACAACTAAATCTAACTTTGGATTAGAATTTAAATACGATTTATAACATACGTCTCCCTTTTCACATACCGGTAATTGGAATATTCCAAAAAGACTATACATTGATTTTAAAATAAATATAAAAAATAATACTGTTAAAATTGAACCTAAAGAGGGTCTCATTTTCAATGTTTTTAATCTTTTATGGTTTTTAAACACGTCAATCAATACTACGTCAAGATAATATTTTTAAAGCATTTGAACTACCATAGACAGCCATAGTCCATATGGTATACCATTTTACTAGTGTGAAGTTAGTAGCATTTTAAATAATATCGAATTCAAAAAATTACATAGGCGCATGTAGTCTTAATTTTCATTCATAAAACTTATATATAATAAATAACTAATGCCCGCTATAATCAAAATTTAGGCAGAACGCTTAGTGCCTCTCTAGTTTGATATTTCTGAATTGTTTTTGAAACAAGCTATATTTCATATTTCTTTTTTGTATGTAATGTGAAACGAAGTTTATTTATATCTACAATATAAGTAATAGGATTAAAAAATTAGAACGATGCTATTAGTATCATACTTGGTCCCTTTGACACTCCGTTGGTGTCAAAATAAAAATCCGTGCACATGTTACTAAATGCAGAATTCGAAAGTAAATTTTTTATTATTTACTTACCCAACTGTGTTATTCTTCTTCTTCTTCTTCTTCTTCTCTTCTTCTTCTTCTTCTTCTTCTTCTTCTTCTTCCTGTTTATAATCAATTCTGCTTGTTCATTGGCGGATTAATACCTCTATAGAAGGTTGTCACTCCATCTTTTGCGCGGTCGTCCGATACTTCTGCCGATTGGTGACTTATCTCTTGCTATTTTGGCGACCCGGGTCTCCTCTATTCTGCTTATGTGGTTATTCCGTTCTTTTTTTCTATTTTGTGTCCATTCATTTATACCCTGTAGGTCACATTTTCTTCTAATGTCTTCACTTCTCTTTCGATCTCTCAGCGTATTTCCTGTAATTCTTCTCAGTACTCTCATCTCTGCCGTTTCCAGTAGACTTTGCGTTGTGGATGTGTCGTGTCGGGTCTTGTTTCTGATTATTGCATATGTCATTATTGGTCTTACACTGGCTTTATAAATTCTTGATTTTATCTCAGTGTTAATGTGCCTGTTTCGCCATACAGTGTTAAGGCATCCCACCAGTCTATTTCAGATCCATTCTCACCATAGCTAGACAGTGTAATTCCCAGATATTTTATTTTCATTACTTGTTCAATACTGATCCCATTAATTTATATTTTACATCTGGTTGGTTCTTTGCTGACCACTATTGTTTTAGCTTTCTGAGATGAGATTGTCATATTAAATTCTTTTGCCCTTATATTAAATATGTGGATCAATCTTTGCAGATTATCTTCGTCTTGGACTATCAATATTGCGTCTTCTGCGTAACAGAGTATTTTGAATTCTTTGTTTCCCATTCTGTATCCTCTTCCTCTGTTATACTGCTACTTATATTATTATTACTATTATTATCTAGCTATAAACCATACGGCTCTCACTCTTTCTAACGAAATAATTCACTAATCTCAGATATCTGTGGTATCAAAAAATTTATCTCTGGCTCTCGAAGAGGAAATCTTTCCATGTTACCAAGTCCTATTATAGACAACTTGATATGCTGAAATATCTCCATAGCTTGGCGATTTTCTCGTTATAAGTATTTAACAGGCAGATTATTGTGTATACTATATGGTAAATTTGTTTTGGATGCCCTTAGCATTGTTACAATCTGAGACTGTGGATGAGCTCTAATCTGAACAGGACTCCATTCAAGACAGACTAGGTGGCGAAGTTCTCATCCCCTACACGGTAAATCCTAATGGCTAATAAGGTCCTATGGATATATGGGACAATGGGAAAGCATTTCATTAACTGTAGATTTTTGATTGTAGATGACACACCTTCACAGAAACACAAAATACACTTACACACATGTACACCAGCATATGTATACAAATGGTTTATGGTTTATCATACGGTTAGATTTATGCTGTGATCCCCAATCCCGAAGTAAAACACCATCGTGCCCATGGGATGCATCGTACAGTGAGAAGAAAAGTGTTACTTAAGCCATGCTTCAAAGAGCTCGCAAGCTCTGGAGGATTATAACCTTGGTACAGTATGGGTATATTGTCATATCTACTCACATCAGAGAAGAAAAAGAGTCTTTAGAAATAGACGTATTTGTATTGTAATCTATCGTTTGTAAAAACTTTATTTATCACTTATATATTTAGGGAACAATATGCACGTATCGTATTTGGTTATTCGTATTTTAAGATCCTGCCATGTATAACTTCCTTCTATTATTTTATTCTCCTCCGCCTATGTTGTTACGTGGAACTAGCGTGTATATTAAATGTTGACGAAAAGTGGTTAGCTACCAAATACAGTAAAAGGCAATGTAAAGGTCAGTATGAAAAAAAAATAGATGTCTGACTGAATTTGTTTATGTATCTTAGTTGTCAAAATAATGGGTTACTTAGTTTATTATATTTTTCCGACAATTTTGATTTTAGCTTTAATACGAAAGTATCGTGAATCAAAATGGGGTAAATGTATAAATAACATCCAATTAGATGGAAAAACGGTCATTGTAACAGGTGCAAATTCGGGTATTGGTTTTGAAATCGCCAAGGAACTTGCCTCTAGAAAAGCACAAGTCATTCTAGCATGCAGAACTTTGAAAAAGGCTAAAGATAGTTGTTTATTAATTCAACAGAAAATTAATAACGTCATTGTCGTAAGTTTCAATATAGTATAATATAAATTAATCTAACCATATAAGACATCTCTCTGAAACACTTGACTTTACCTATTGTTTATCATGATTTATGCCATAATTAAAGATAAATTACTCTTTAGCAGGAATGTAAATAAATAAATCAATCAATTTTTAAAATAATTATACAGTTTCCCAACTAATTATTCAGTGTATGAAAACATCTGACATAATTTTCTGCAATAGTTTCTTTTATTCCTGATAGTTTTATTTATTAGTTATAATATTTAGAATCTGTCCTTAAAAATTCAAATTCCCTGCTCATTTTAGTCTTCCTTTTTATACTTTTTTTCACAACTTACTACCATAAATATTTAACTAAATTTCGGGATATTTTCGGTAATATTCGGACATTTCGGTAATAATAATAATAATAAACAATATTGAATAAATGAGTAGGGGGTCGCGAACAAATTTTTTAGCAAAAAGGGGAAACTCTGTCCTACAGCATCTGTTCAAATATTTTTTGGATGAATATAGCTTATTGGCCCTTTCTTTGCCTTTCATTGTATATCCTGTTTAATAGAACTTCCAGGTGGTCATCCTCTGTCGTTTTCTGCTGTATCTTCCAATTCTGACCCACTCAGCTCATCTTCAAATACCACTGGAATATTTGATATGTCTATATTTTCTAAATCTACATCATTATTTAAGACTTCAATATCACTTACAATCATCTTTACTATCATCTCAATAGTCTACTATAACTTGCAATTCTTTATCTGATAAAGACCTCTTCATATACCAGCTAAACATCTAAAATACTACCCAAAATACATTATGTATCATAAAGGATACAAACATTTTTTACTATACCTTTAAAAATAATAGTAAATGCTGAATAAAACTAATACTGGATGACTTGTTGATATGTAATAACTAGAAAACTCAATTTTGTACATTTAATTTTCATTAATGACCACCTATAAAATTTCTTTTAATCTCAGCGTTATCATCAACCCAACGGTTAAGTGATAACCGACTAATTCGCTCGTTTTTTTAAATATTAGATAACATTGTCAGGTTACAAAATGTTTATATATTATAGAGTGGTATATATCGAATATGTTACTTAGTGCTTTTTGGACTTACTGTTATTTCACTGTGTAATACATGTAAATTCTCGTTATGCTTCATATATGATACATTGAGCAGTGTAGAGTTAATATCTGAAATACAGCAAAATCAGATCAGAAGCCTTTCTTGAATATTTTTAGAATTGGTTTTATTACTTTCAACTTTTATCTTACTTCATTCATTATTTTATCCAACATTAATAATTCTTTCCACTTTCTTAGTATATAGTTTCAGTTAATAACCTTTACTTGTACTTTTGACTTTGGTTCAGCTATGACATATCAGTATTTCTATAATGTCTCATTGGCCCTTAGTTGATTCCTATGCCTAGTTTCACATTGCTGTAAAACACTGTCTACACTCTCGATCAAAGTTCTTTGGACGAAGTGCCGAAGTGAAGTTAATTGAGGCGAGGTGACTCTTTACATACTTGTGAAGACGAGTAATGTAGTGTGACACTTCATATTCGAACTTCGGGCCCTTTGACTCGGACGCGAAAAATCGACATAGAAGGGAAGTAGAAAGAGACGAAGCGAAGTCGCATGAAATATGTGTCTACACTATCATACTTGCTGAACTTTGATCAACTTCGTGGGTAGTATAGTGGCTGCATAAGATGGGATAAATAAAAACTGTTTTAAACTTTAAATTTCTTAATGTATCATATCTAACATTATTATAAGATTAATGCATTTAAAACTTGAAACAATTTATGGGCCTTAAAGACCTATCTCCATTTCCATATCGTTTCTATTTACCTCATAGACAGAGATCAAAATAGAAACATTTGATATTTTTTTCATATCTGCACCTTTTCTTCTTAACATGCCATACACTAAAGTGCGTAGGCGACTATCTCATTACTAGAATTCTGTTATTGGTGGCGTGACACAGCTCGCTTGTATTGGGTATTCCTGTCCATTCTTCAATATTCCTTAACCAGGATAATTGTTTGCGGCCGGCTCCTCTCCTACCTTCGATCTTCCCTTGTAGGATTAACTGTGGTATTTCATATTTTGCTCCTCTCAATATGTGCCCAAGGTAACCAATCTTACGTTTTTTAATTAATTCAAAGAGTTCTCTTTCCACGTCGGCTCTCTTAAGGACGTCATCGTTTCGAACTCTATCCACCCAAGGTATGCGCATCATTCTTCTCAATGACCACATTTCAAATGCTTCAAGCTAGCTTGTTGATACATGTCTTTTTGTAGCGTATTTCGAAATTTAGGTTTTGATTACATAGGACCGGTCTGAATTTCACAAAATCTTGTCTTGCCATTTGTATTCGGGTTTTTATCTCGTGTTGTGGATCCGATTGGTCATTGATTGTGGTGCCAAGGTATTTAA